AATTCACCTAGGTCTTTCAAGGTTCGATGTGCAACTGAAAACTTTGTGACATTCTTCACATTTGTAAGCTTTCTCTCCAGTATGAATTCTCCTGTCTCTCGAGGCTTGATTGGCAACTGTAAACTTTGTCACGTGCTTCACATTTCTAAGGTTTCTCTCCAGTATGAATTGATAACGTGCATGGTGTGCCTGTTGATTAAAAACCACACCATATTCATTACACTTGTAAGGTTTCTCTCCAATATGAATTTTCTTGTCTTTCAAGGCTTGATTTGTGACTAAACTTTCTTCATGATTTACATTTCTAAGGTTTATCTCCAGGATAAATTGTATGATGACGTGCAAGCTTTGCTTTTCGATTCAAAACCCTTTCACAATCACTACTCTTGTAAGGTTTCTTTCTAATATGATTTCTAGGACTATCAAGGTTTGATTTGAATCTAAAAGCTTCATCACATTCTTCACATTTGTAAGGTTTCTCTCTAGTATGAGGTCAAGGTATGAATGATGTCTGAAAAGTTTGCCGGTTTTATCACACTTCTAAGATCTCTCTTCATTATGGATTCTCCAATGATTTGCAATAGTTGTAGCATTACTGAAGACATGGTGACAATCACTACATTTGTGAAGTGCTGACTGCCCATGAAAGGCTTTGCCACACTCATTACACTTGTAAGGTTTCTCTCCAGTATGAAGTCTACGATGGCGTGTAAGGTATGACTTCCGACTAAACATCTTACCACACTCATTACACTTGTAAGGTTTCTCTCCAGTATGAAGTCTACGATGGCATGTAAGATGTGACTTCTGACCAAAGGTCTTGCCACAGTCATTACACTTATAAGGTTTCTCTCCAGTATGAAGTCTACGATGGTATGCAAGGTATGACTTCTGATTAAACGTTTTGCCACACTCATTACACTTGTAAGGTTTCTCTCCAGTATGAAGACTATGATGGCGTCTAAGGTACGACTTCTGACTAAAGGTCTTGCCACACTCATTACACTTGTACAGTTTCTCTCCAGTATGAATTCCCCTATGTATTACAAGGCTTGATTTGAAACGGAAAGCTTTGTCACATTCTTCACATTTATAAGGTTTCTCTCCAGTATGAACTCTACGATGGTATGTAAGGGATGATGTCCGGCTAAAGGTCTTGCCACACTCATTACACTTGCAAAGATTCTCTCCAGTATGACTTTTCCGATGTATTTCAAGGTTTGATTTGAAACTGTAAGCTTTGTCACATTCTTCACATTTGTAAGGTTTCTCTCCAGTATGAAGTCTACAATGGCATTTAAGGGTTAACTGTTGATTGAAGTTCTTGCCACCCTCATTACACTTGCAAGGTTTCTCTCCAGTATGAAGTCTACGATGGCATGTGAGGGATGACTTGTGACGGAAGGTCTTGTCACACTCATTACACTTGTAAGGTTTCTCTCCAGTATGAAGTGTACGATGGCATATAAGGGATGACTTCTGAATAAAGGTTTTGCCACATTCATTACAGTTGTATGGTTTCTGTCCAGTATGAATTCTCCTATGTCTTTCAAGGTTTGATTTCCTACCAAAAGCTTTGTCACATTCTTCACATTTGTAAGGTTTCTCTCCAGTGTGAAGTCTACGATGGTATGTAAGGGATGACTTCCGACTAAAGGTCTTGCCACACTCATTACACTTGTACGGTTTCTCTCCAGTGTGAATTCTCCTGTGTCTTTCAAGCTTTGATTTGAAACTGAAAGCTTTGTCACATCCTTCACATTTGTAAGGTTTCTTTTCAGGATGAAGTCTACGATGGCATGTAAGCGATGACTTCTGACTAAAGATCTTGCCACACTCCTTACACTTGTACAGTTTCTCTCCAGTATGAATTCTCCTATGTCTTTCAAGGTTTGATTTCAAACTGAAAGCTTTGTCACATTCTTCACATTTGTACGGTTTCTCTCCAGTATGAAGTCTACGATGCCACGTAAGGGATGATATCCGGCTGAAGGTCTTGCCACACTCAGTACACTTGTAAAGATTCTCTTCAGTGTGAATTTTCCGATGTATTTCAAGGTTTGATTTGAAACTGTAAGCTTTGTCACATTCTTCACATTTGTAAGGTTTCTCTCTACTATGAAGTCTACGATGGCATTTAAGGGTTAACTGCTGACTGAAGGTCTTGCCACACTCATTGCACTTGTAAAGTTTCTCTCCAGTATGACGTCTACGATGCCATGTAAGGGATGACTTCTGACTAAAGGTCTTGCCACACTCATTACACTTGTAAGGTTTCTCTCCAGTATGAAGTCTACGATGGCACGTAAGGTATGACTTCGAACTGAAAGTCTTGTCACACTCATTACACTTGTACGGTTTCTCTCCAGTATGAATTCTCCTATGTGTTTCAAAGTTTGATTTGAAACAGAAAGCTTTGTGACATTCTTCACATTTGTAAAGTTTCTCTCCAGTATGAAGTCTACGATGGTATGTAAGGGTTAACTCCTGACTGAAGGTCTTGCCACACTCATTACACTTGTATGGTTTCTCTGCACTATGAATTCTCCTATGTCTTTCAAGGATTGATTTGAAACTGAAAGCTTTGTCACATTCCTCACATTTGTAAGGTTTCTCAACAGTATGAAATCTACGATGGCATGTAAGGGATGACATCTGACTGAAAGTCTTGCCACACTCATTACACCTGTAAGGTTTCTCACCAGTGTGACATCTATGATGGCCTGCAAGGTATTGCTTCTGATTAAATACCTTGCCACACACATCACATTTATATTGTTTCTGTCCCAAATAGATTATCTGACGTTTCCTTAAGAGTGAGCTATAATTAAAGGCTTTGCCACTCTCATTACATGGGAAAGATTTTTCTCTCATGTGTACTTCCTGTTTTTCTGTGAGTAATGAAGAATTCCGGAAATCATTCCCATAGTTATTAGATATATGGGTTTTGGGCCTACAAGAAATTCTTTGGGCTGTTGAAAATGAGGAAGCATCGTTGATAGACTTCTCAACTTGATTATCAATTTTCCCTTTGGTGTAAAATATGTGCAGTTCAGGCAGATGTGAATGAAAGCTTAATCCAAGCTGATCTTTAATAGGCTTGTTTCCAGCATGACTATGATCATATCGGTCTGTACTACCTGTCAAGTTGTTGATTTTTGTAATGGGTGCTTCATGGCCATTTCTTTCATCTTCTTGCCACTGAAACTCAAAGTTATGAATATCTTCATCAATATCATGGAAGCAAAAATCTCCAATGTGATGACTTTCATGTCTTTGCAAAGTCCCTGTGTGGAGCACTTCTCTATTGCCTTGCGCTGTTGATGAGAACTCCTTCATCATGCATTTGGAAGAAATAGCTACAAAATATAAACACCAAAATTTTCAAGTTAAGTACAGATGGTAAACAATGCTGAAATGTGTAACTATGACACAAAAAACAATACTTAAACTTTCCAAACATGACTCTCAAAGCTTAGGAACAGAAAAGCGTAAGATTCTTTAACAAATAATGGGCTATTACATGTGCTTCAAATTACTTTTACAGAAGCCTATTTGCAATATTGTGACAAAACAATGATAGGGCACAAACGTGTGTCACCTAAAGTAAGGAATATTTTTCCACTGGGACCCTAAAGTGTCTAACAGTTTCCAAAAAATATCACTGTCACATCAATGAAAAGTATATATTCTTCATATTTGCTGTATAGAAATAAATGCTAAAGGATCACAGGAAATACTATATTGGTAAATAATCCACAACAAGCTTATGTAAGGATAACCAAAATCAATGGAAATTCTGTATTGTCAAACAATCACAGCACTGAGAAGATAAGAAAAGACTACAAAATTTAGCCAGGCTTGGTGGCCCACATCTGTAGTCCCAGCTACTTGGGAGGGTAAGTCACAAGAATCATTTGAACCCGAGAGGCAGAGGTAGCAGTGAGCCAACATTGCACTATACTTTAGCCTGGGCGACAAAGTGAGACTCCATCTCAAAAAACAAAAAAAGTTAATACAATGTTTTTCTGAATAACTGTCATAAAATTACCTATATCCATGCAGAAAAGGCACTTCGTGACATTTTAAATAATTTTTTTATTTTTACATTTTTGAGGTTAAGTTTCACTCTCTCGCAACCAGCTGGAATTAAATGGCCTGATCTCGGCTCACTGCAACCTCCGCCTTTTGGGTTCAACCGATTCTCCTGCCTCAGCCTCCTGAGTACCTGGGATTACAGGCACAGCACACGTCACCATGCTTGGCTAATTTTTGTATTTTTAGTAGAGACAGGGTTTCAACATGTTGGCCAGGCTGGCCTTAAACTGTTGACTTCAAGTGTTCTACCTGCTTCAGCCTCCCAAAGTCCTGGGATGGCATGCATGAGCCACAGCATCCGGTGGCACTTTGTGACATTAACTAGTGGACTGTGTCAGTTATACTGCATACCGCATACATACCGAAAAGCCTTATGTACAATCATAAAAATTAATTAGTAAAATATTGTAACGCATAAAACCAGGAAGCAAATAAGTACCTTTATACAACCTGCAAAATTCTAAACAATTCACTGCTAAGAAAAACTCCACAACTTTTACTTACCACCAGCGCACAATGTAAGAAAGGAAATATATGTTAAGATCACTACCTTCTGATTTATGAAGTCAAAAATGTACACAGCATTATAAGGAATAAGAATTGACTAATGGCCAGGCACGGTGGCTCAGGTCTGTAATCCCAGTACTTTGGGAGGCTGAGGCGGGTGGATCATGAGGTCAGGAGTTCGAGAGTAGCCTGGCCAACATGGTGAAATCCCAACTCTACTAAAAATACAAAAAAATTAGCTGGTCGTGGTGGTGGGTGCCTGTAATCTCAGCTACTTGGAAGGCTGAGGCAGGAGAATCATTTCAACCTGGGAGGTGGACGTTGTAGTGAGCTGAGATCGCACCACTGCATTCCAACCTGATTGAGAGGGTGAGATTCATCTCGGGAAAAAAAAAAAAAAAGAATTGACTAACAGTGCCAGAGGGTGCAATTATGATGTCACAACTACATTTATGAAACAGCCAGGCAATACAGCAATTCTATAGATACATATGCATTGTTGGCCTTAATTATCTAGTTCACTATGCACAAAATAGAAAACACAGAATGTGTACTGGGAAAATGTTTAAACTGAGATCAGAGAAAACATTTTATCATTCAAATTGCACAATAAAAACATAAACAATATGATGCAGCCTCCCTGGTGTGAATGTTCTTATTGGCCAAAAGCCATGTTCAGAGTTTTTATTCTCCAACGGGATGTTCCTGCAGATGGGGCCTTTGAGAGAATTTGGTCATGGGTGTTGACTACTCATGAATAGGACTTGTGCTTTCATAAAAAGAGATACAAAAGAGCTCATTTCCTGTTCCTCTTTCTCCCATGTCAGGACACAGCAGGAAGATGGCTGGGCTAAACCCTA